TATCTCTTCCACCTGTGGTTTTTAAACTTCATTTTACCGATTTTTAAGCTTAGTGGCAGGAGGAATGGAAAACACATACCAGTAACAAATTGCACTCCGTTAAACCTGTTACCGGTGAATGGTCTCCATGCTATATATACAACCACCGAGACGAAGTTGTCCTTGCCTGTCTTCGGATGGGTCATGCATACCTTACACATTTATATAAGTTGAAAAGCCAGGATAATCATTGGTGCATAGGATGTGATGAGCCATTCACCGTTAAACATTTTTTTATTGGACTGCAGCGACCTTCTGTCTTCTCGAGAATGTTTTTATCGTAACATTATATGTCTAAAATCCCTTTTTGAAACGATTGAGATTTGTAAAATTCTACATTACCTGAAAGATGTTGGTCTATATAATATACTATGACTACCATTTTAATCTTTTGTGTTAACATACCCATTTAAGATTTTTAGCATTTGTCTTTTACCTTTTGGTTTGTTTAATGTTATTTCGTTTTGGATCGCTGTGTGTTTTACCGGTTGAAGGCCCTAATGACCTTTTATGTGTTGACGGGCCGTTAAGAATTTCATTATAATAATAATATCATCGTTATCAATTGAAAAAAATATCTACCTAAATTTGCATATACTTGCACTGATTGGGAACATAATCTTTAAAATAAAAGTGTCTGAAAAACTGAAACATGGTTTCGGAATAAGCAAAGCAAGCATTTTTAATATGATAATATATTCATCTCTTTTGCCATAAACTATAAAAAATATATCTAGATGTTTTTAACAACAAACTGAAATATCTATGTTCATTTATCTATGTAGGTATTTGATTAATATACATTTTGCAATACATATGGTACTGATTTGTTTGAATTTTCGAACAATGAAATAGACCCAAATGGCCTTTTATGTGTTGACATGCCGTTAAGAATGTAATAATAATAATAATTGTTCATATTAAGACATTGCAACGCGGATATGAATCACAACAAAGCTAATATCATTTATAAAGTTTATTGATCAGTGTTCATCTTCATCCCTCCAGCACGGACTATATTCCAGTAACTAATTTGATAAGAATTTATATGTTGTCTCTACTGCGTTCGTCTTGCATATTTAAATATTCATTTAATCTTAATAAATAAGTTCGTCGGTTAAGTTAATATTTATAATCAAGTCAGTCATGCTTGTATGTTACATTTCTGTACTAATTGAGCCTAGGGTCTTATGAATTAATCTTGTTCTTTTTTAGCTTTCTATTTGCAGCAAACTCTTCAAGTTGTATCATAATACTACAAAATATTACAATTTGATCAATAATTTCATATTTTGTGTATGTAGAAAAAATGCTATTATTTTGCATTACCTTTCGTAAATTAACTGCAATCTTTTTAAAAGTTTGCACCCATATTCTACCTCAGTAATTAAGCTTCTTTATTATCAATACTTGGCTTCATTAACTATCATACAGTAATATTTTTCTGGGTAATAGTTAAGTTGAAGCCAGTCATTAAATGACAAAATGTAAGAACATGTACCAGCCAGGTTTTTAACACATTGTTCAAAATTACAAATAAATTATTATGCATCTTCTATATAATATAAAGTGTTCCGTATGACTTGAATAGATACATCGATATATGTCAATATACCAACATAAGTAATTAAGTTGATCAGGAGTTTGGTTGCTGCATTAATTTCGACTTTAGAATTGGATGAGGAATATAACAGTAGCATAATGGTAGCAAATTGATATAATTGCAGTATTGTAGTAATGTTATACATTTCAAAAATTGTTACAATTCTTAATTCCAACTATATAACGTAACAATTTGCAATGGAATACTGGTTCTTGATAATAATAGCAATATACCTGAAAAGTTCAACTACCGTTTTTATCTGATCTATAGCTTTGATATATTTTTCAGCTTGTTGGCTTGATACAAAATTTGAGAGGGAGAGGCTATCCATATTCTCTGATAAATGAATTATACACAGGTGTGTGCAGTATACTTTGAAAACTTGATTTAATACAGTAAAAATGATTAAATAAATAGAAATTACAGCTTTTACTGATCATGTGTTATTAATAAGAGAAAAAATTGCTAATGAAATCTAATATTTCATTTCTTAATAGTGATGCTTTCCATCAACTAAATCACAGTTCAAGTGACATACTACTACGATACTCAAAAAGAAAAGAATAGGTAACGGGTAAAATAGGTTACTTTAATTCAATAAATTAAAAAATTTTTTCTGATATAAATCCAATAAAAGTAGGAATTACAATTAGAAAAATGGTTGTACAATAATCCTGACTTTATCGGAAATGCATCGTTATCAATTGATAAAATTTTATCTAACAAAATTTGCATGTACTTGCACTGATTGGGAACATGATTTTTTTAAATAAAAGTTTCTGAAGAACTTTAACATTGTTTCGGAATAAGCAAAGCAAGTTTTTTTATTATGATAACATGTTCATATATTTTGCCCGTAACTAAAATTATCTACATGTTTTTAATAACAAACTAAAATGTCTATATTCATTTATCTATGTAGTTCAATAATTTAACAAATAAATTACTCAAAATGCTGGTAAAATATACATTTTGCAATGCACATGATACTGGTTTATTCGTATTTTCGAATAATTAGATAGAATTATAAAAACGATTACAAAATGATTTATAGCTGTATCAAATTATAAATACTAATATTTTCTCCATATCTAAGTTTTATTATGATTTCCTCGCCTTTTATTGACTTTACAGGAGCGTTTTAATATAAGAAATAGTCTAAATTTGATATGCTGAAGTTTTATCAAAGCTACGTTAGATGTAGTGTCGTTTTGTTGCTCTTGCCAAAGTGATGTTCTTACAAAGTTATAATTATTGTTGATGTCCAGAAACAATGCATCAGAAACTAGAAATCTTCGAAAGTACAAATATTTAAACTGAAATGACTGGTAACGTTTGTCGTCAATTGCAATATTGCCGTACCGGATGCGGTTTATATTACAATCTGTTGCGATTATTTAAACAAGTTATACTTATATACTCAACAACAAAAAAGAAAGGTTAACACGTTTCTTTGGCGAATACCTGTAAGTGAGTGAAAACAAAATGACGTTTGTGCAATATTAGAAAATGGTAATGTTTTAAATTACAAAATCCAAGGGGGTTACCAAAATCATTCAAGCGTGAAAGTCTATATTAGCGAAAGAGCTGCACGAGGTTTTCTGCGAATAACTTGTATCTTCGCTTGAATTTCATAAACATTTAAACTGACAACTGTTCCTTAGATCCTTAGGACTTAGAAATCACCGAATCTTGCTATCTATCAACTTTATCATTATGCCCCGGTGGTCACAAGTACAGAGAGAAAAGGTGTAGGCATGATCCAGGCTGGGGAGTCTCGCCGTCGAGTTGTACGGCATTTTGGTTGCAGTGTTAAGACAATTTGCCAGTTGCTAGGTCGTTTAAATCAAACTGGGTCAACATCCGATCGTCCCCGAAGCGGCCGACCGCAAGGGATGACCGTCGTATACGATTGATACACTTGCGCAATCGATTCGTAACCGCAGTAGAGACTACAAGGACATTGTTCGGGCGTCGTGTGTCTCCCAAAACAGTGCGCTACAGGTTGAGCGCCTAACAATTGAAAGCGCGCCGTCCCTACACTGGACCCAATTTGTTGCGACGTCACCGTAATAATCGGCGTAACTGGACCCGTGTTCACCGTCGTTCGGCCTTACGACAATGGAACAATGTTCTGTTTTCAGATGAGTCTAGGTTTTGTCTGCAACACAGAGACGGAAGGTGCAGAGTGTGGAGGCGACGAGGAGAGCGTTTTGCGAACTGCTGCGTCGCAGAACGGGACCGCTTTGGCGGCGAAGTGTAATGGTTTGGGTGGTATTCGTGGGGGACTCGTACCAGGCTTGTTGTGTTAAATGGCAATATAACCGGCATTCGATATCGGGACGAAATTTTAAGACCAGTGGTTCTGCCATTCTTAAGACGCCATGGCGTTGGCGCCATTTTTCAACAGGTCAATGCACCAGCGCACAACAGTCGCGTCAGCAGAACTTTCTTGCAGCAGAATAACGTACAGGTGTTAGATTGGCCATCTAATTCACCTGATTTGTCACCGATTGAGCATGTCTGGGACGTTCTTGGGCGACGCGTGAGAGAACGTCAAAATCAGCCGTCAAACTTGCAGGAGCTGAATCGCTGAATGAAACAAATTCTCTCCTCGAATTATCCGCCGGTTTACGAGTCCCATGTGACGACGCTGCAATACTGTTTACATCGCAAACGGTGGCCATACCCGTTACTAATGATGTTACCTTTGAAATTGACCCCAACGTCTTTTACAGTCGAATAAAATCAATTGAAAATCAATTATAATGAACCATGACTGCAGTTTTATCAGAATTGATCAATTACTTTATTCGTGCATGATTGGTAAGGATTTATGAAGGGGTTAATTAATTAATCACAGAATAAAGTAGTGTTACCTTTCTTTTTTTGTTTAGTATATTACGAAACTCCGTTGAATGTATCACACACTTTCGATATACAGTGTAAATTCATAAACAGCGACTTAAACACGCAAAATAAATATGTTGCTTGTCTTATAGATGTCCTTCGCCATCTCCAAACAATAACTCGTGAAGGATGTTAATGCCGTCAATATTGACGACATGTCGTTCGATTGGAAGTAAATCATTACCCGCGTCAACAATAGAAGGCAAATCAAACTTTGGCCAATGACATTTACACGAACATACAGTCACTTTGCATACATTAATTCCTATCAGGAACTGTATATGCAAGCTTAGTTGATGCCCTTTAACTGTCAGAAAATTGTCAGAATAATAAGAAAAGATCATGCATGTCAATGTCGTACTAATGAGTTTTTTGTCATATACAGTGAATTCCTTGGTAGTGTTAGATATATAAAGGTATGGCATGACAATAGCCTCTACAACTTTCGATGGAGAGAGAAGAGGAGATAGCTATAGTTGGTATTGGCTGCCGATTCCCTGGAGCCAATAACATCAAAGAATTCTGGAAAATTTTGGTAAACGGAGAGAATCATGTGAATGAGATACCAGGGGAGAGATGGAACCTAGACGCTATCTATGATCCAGATCCTGATGCCTACGGGAAAACCTACGTCCGACGGGCAGGAGTGCTATCGAAGTAAGTTTTATTTGAAACGAAATATTTATTTATGCTGTCAGAATTCGCATGTATTATTGCTGTTTTAGGCAGTGATGGAAAACGGCAGAAATATAGTTCGTGCATCATTTCGCCAGAATAATATTTCTCATTTACTAAAATAGCTTACATATATCTATGATTTTGTTTGTTGTTAAAAACAAATTTAATTTCAAAAATGCACTACCTTGTATTTATCTGAGCTATTATTTCGGCGTTTGTCTTCAGGCATATTTCGGCGTAACGCTAGGTTAATAAATTTGGGACATAAAGACAAATTTGACTTGCCTCTTACGTCTGACTTCTGACACTGACCGATCATGTATTCTTTATTTATATCATATTTAAGTGTGTGTTAGCTAAATCTTGTCCAACTGACACCGAATAGATTGTTTTCGTCGTAATTTTAACATGTTTAATTAAGTTGGTATCATTGACATTATCATATAATCAATTTATGTTGGTACATTTTATGTTTAAATATTGTTTATCAACAGCGCGTTGCGTATCTCTTGTTCCATTAATGTTGTATCATATAGTGAGCAGTAAACTAAATCGAACTTTCGTAAAATGAAGTCTAGCATGTTCTATGGAAATTCACTAAAATACACATAAGTTGATCAAACGTGTATCACAGTATGTATAATTTGTATGCCTTATAATCAGTTGAAGTACAAACCAGGAACATATAGTTTACCAAATGTGATATTAATCATTCATACTGATTCTGGTTGATATGTGATTGATATATTAAATGATTTTGCATAGAATTGCTATAAATCATACTTGCTACTTTACAATAGATATGCAGTAATTGGTACAGTTCAGGTGACAACCGCGACATCGTGATGACAGATGACAGGGATTCAGTTTCTGTTTGCGTTTTGAATCGTCGATCATATTTTCGATTACTTTTGGACTCGATTTCCGTTTGCGGTTGCGTTTAGAATCATATTCCATAAGCCTATGCCTCCGTTTGCGTTTGTCTTCTGAGATATACAGAGGGAGAAAGTGTTGTATATATTGATAGACCTATAGAACACAGACATGATTGATTAATTAAATGAAGGTATCTACAGTTGTTGTAACGGGCAACGCACGACCCTATCATATTCTATACTAAAAGAACGCTCTGTCTAGCAAAGCTTTCACGAAAGTTGAACGGCAGTACAAATATATGTTTGCGAACTGTACCAAGGCTGAAGGTTTCGAAGAGCTTATCAGTCGTTTAATTTCAATTTCAGATATATTGATAAAGTTTTGTCTTTAAATAAACATTTGTTGACCACGTCCATCGTAATACCATCCAAAATTGGAACCCAAGGACACGACAGACTTGTCTACATCAGCAGCTTATCTCGATCCTTTCCCACAACGAAACCAGCATGGCCAGCTTTCAACCACACTGTATGATTAGAGAAATTTTATTAATTTTTGATCATTTCGAGGGATAGCTACGACTGTGCATCCCCAATCTATGTCGCAGTTGCCTCGTTATTCATGGAACAATTGCAGTTAGCATATAAGATTGTTTCTACATTTCCTGGTTTCTGGGCACATCGGAATACCTAGCAATGAAAAAGCAGATCATGCCGCAAAGGCAGCTTTATCGGTACCATCTGCTGTTTATAAACTTCATTTTACTGATTGTAAACCATTTCACCGGTTATGAATTGCATTGAATAAAACCTACCATCGGTGAATAATCTTGCTATATAGAACAACCAAGACAAAGATGTCCTTCCCCGTCTTCGAATGAACCATACTTACCTTACTCATTCATATATGTTGAAAGGTGAAGATAATCCTCGGTGCAAAGGATTGGGCTGAGCCATTCACTATCAAACATTTCTATAGTACTGCATTGAATTTCTGTCTACTCGAGAATGTTTTTATCGTTACGATATAAGTCTACAGACTGTTCAGATTTATAAAATTCTAGGTTAGCTGAAAGATGTTGGTTTTTATTTTAGAATATGACTTACCATTTTAATCTTTTTATGATAATATAACTTTTTAAGATTTTTAGCTTTTGTATTTAACCTTTGTTTGTTTGATGTTATTTCCGATTGATGTCTCTAATGACCTTTTGTGTGTTGACGAGCAGTTAAGATTGTAATAATGATAATGATAATAACTAGAAATTGTCATACACAATTTTGACGGGCTTTTCGGCACTCTGTTTGAAATCAAAGTACAAAAGGAATCATCAATAGTAAGAGATCAAAGCAATGAGTGTACTGTTTTCCAAAATAATGTTGTATAAAGTAAATTTGAACTGTACCGAAAAAACAAGTTGATTTTTTTTGAAAACATTACTTATTGTTATCAATAATAAGTGTCCACAGGACCAGAGGAGGTTTTGTAAGAAAATTTCACAGCTGTTTATCTCTAAAAGTATTATATTGAATTTTTAGGAATTTTTTTACGTGATTGACGCCTGTGACCTTGAAAGTGGGTAAAGGTCATTCATATTATCAAAATCGATTGACCAATATGTCAGCATGCTATAATTGTGAAATATAAGGTCCTTTTGCTTCACGTAATTTATAAACGTTTGATAGTGAAATTAGCACTTAATGAAAACTCTGACACTTAACGGAAAACAGAAGTTTAATTTCTCCAAAACGTTTTAATAATAACAACAGACGATTGCAAGTGTCAATTGAAGAAAAATGACCTAATTTTGTCACTGCCAATAGGAAATGACAAAAATGTCATTTAATGACTTTCACATAGCTAACCTCTGTGACCTTGGAAGTACAAGATCATCCATATTAACAACAGTTATAGACAATTATATTAAGTTTGTATGTATTAGATATCAAGTCTGTTGGTCTTTCCAAACTTGATAAGAAGTTTTGTATACATTGGTACCCTACAATGAAGTTTTGAACTTTTACCCCAAATGAAATCTGAAAGTTGGTCTTTTATGAAACATTTGCTTATTCCAATCAAAAGCAAGTCTCCGCAGAAGGTTGTTTACCAAATCAGGTAACTGTTTTCCTATTAACAAAATAAGAAGAAGTCATTTAATGATATTAATATATTTGACTCCTGTGACCTTGAAAGTAGGTCAAGGTCATTCATTAAAAAAAAACCTAATATGCAATTAACTTAGCATTATGTGTGTGAAATATCGAACATCTAGTCTTTTCAAAACATGAGAAGAATTTTCTAGTAGTTTGGTACTCTAAATTGTACTTTTGAACCTTGACCCTTACCGAAAGCCGGAAGTTGACTTTTTACACAAAAATGTCCTATGAGAAGTGTCATTTATTTTCAGTTCTGAATAACATATTTAAAAATGATTTTCAAAATGTCACGTCATTATTGAGATATTGACGGTAGGGCAAAATCAAATTTGGCGTCATGGCGGCCTTTTTGTTTTTGAAAGTCACGTCAGAATTTAGTGGGCACGTTACCAAACCTATTCCATAACAATTAAACAAAATTTCATCGTAGGAACTTTATTTAATTTCAATTCAAACTTTTTTGTCTGTACTTTACATTGAACTATGTAAATTAAATAGAAATGACGTAAAACGTCAAAGAAAGACGTCACAGAAGAAATGTAGACACAAAAATTATCTGACTGACAATGCATTAAAATGTGTGAAAAAAAAATAGAAAAAAAATCTCTTTTAGGTGACCTTTCCACCTTGGCGAGCTTTTATATTTGAAATAATTTCTGGTAATTCGACCTACTTAAAAATGCGTCATGAACAAGTTCAGATGTACTTCCATGACGTACTATATATACTGAGAGGAAAAAGAAACGCAATTAGCAGAAATTTATGGTACCGTATCAAAATCACTGATGCATAACTAAACTGCGCACGCCGCTTGTTCAAAAGAATAAGAGACAAAAGCACGATATCTCGAACCCAGTATAAAGGATTGGTTCAAAATCTGTGTGTGCGAATCTTCAGACATATCCGTCTTGATTTCCCACATTTTAAGCATAAACAGTTCACCGTAAAAATGCCACGACTGTCCGAAATTGACAGGGGTCGTGCCATTGCACTTCTTATGCAAGGTACCCAGCAAAATCAGGTCGCTAATCAATTTGGAGTTCATCCATCGAACATTTGCCGTCTCATCCAAAGCCTACATGCCACCGGAAGGGTTGCGGCCGTCCCCGAAGCGGTCGCCCTCATGTCACGACGCGTCGGCTGGATAGGTCAATGCGACTTTCGCACCTACGCAATCGCTTTCTGACAGCCACGGAAAAAGCAAGGTGCATAATTGGGCATCATCATGTTCCAATTGATCCAAAGACAGTTCGTACTCGACTGCCTGCCTCCGGTATAAGACCGCGGCGGTCATATGCTGGACCACAGCTTAATGCACGGCGACGTGCCAGGCAAATGCAATGGCTGAGGCACATTCCGTAAGACGCTTCCCGATGCAACGTTGGAGAAGGGTCCTGTTCTCAGATGAGGCCAGGTTTTCGCTTCACCGGGCAGACGACATCGTGTCTATAGACGTAACCACGAGCGCTATGCAGATGCTTACGTGATAGAGAATGACCGCTTTGGAGGAGGATCGGTCATGGTATGGGGAGGGATTGCGCATGGTATCAAGACACCTCTGGTCGTTATTCAAGGAAATCTCACGGCCGTCCGCTATAGAGATCAAGTCCTAACGCCGGATGTTGTTCCTCTGGTACAGCAGCGTCAACTGACGTTTCAGCAGGACAACGCCCGGCCGCATGTAGCGAGGGTTGCCGCAGCAAACAATGTCCCCAACCTAGGCTGGCACCCATACAGCCCTGACCTCTCAGTGGGGATCCCTCACACTCAACACTACATGTTACACAAAAATTGAAATAATTTCCCTCAAATGGCTCAACAATTTACTTTTCAGACTATTTCATATCATGTTACAAATTATAATAAAATTCCGCAAGAAACATTCACTAGATCCTGAAATTCCTCTCAACAATCAGTAAATCACTCAGTATTATGTAGATAAATTGGTAATTCAAGTTATTCTAGATCAGCACAGGCTCCAAATAGTCAGAAATGTACTCAAACACCTCAAGTCAGCCGTTAACTGTAAACAATACAGCAGTTCTACTTCTACATCCGGTACATTTACAATGTTCACTACTCAACAGAAACAGTTCACAGTTCGGCATTTACGACACAATGTTTACCGTACATAATAACAAAGTTCTAGCGGGATGACAAGGCCCAAAGATACTCTCCACAACACCTGTTTACTGCGTCGGTATGCGTCGACGTCTGTCCTGAAGCTGTCCAGCCGTCCTGTCCTGTGCGATACGAGCTGGCGACGAGGAATTACACATGGGGCACTCCGGAACACCGCTGGTCACCGGACGGGAAACATGTCAACCCATATCTTTGCGTCGAGGCTACTGTCTCAGCCTGAGCCCCTTCACGGCTCTCCAAGTCATGTCATTAAACTATATAAACACAACAATACAAAATATAACTAATGGGATACTGTGACACGATCAAAACAACAGTACGCCACAGTTTGGCAAACTCGCAGACCATGCGGTAACCTACTATCTAACTGAAATACTCGCTTAAATTACAAAAATAGATGCTGACATTCCTTGTCTAGCTATAAAAGCAATTTCTAAGTATTAGTAGTTACCCTTTTTACATATTACAGCAGCAATAACATATTGAAATGGGATCAAAACACATTCACTAGATCTCCCATAGGGAAATTTACATCGCTGTTTTGCTAAGTCACATTTTGCAAAAATACGGAATGGCATCTTGAGATATTACTACCAATGAAAAATAGAAGGTTTACATATTTCGACTCACCACTGGGAACGTCCTGAACCTCCTTTTACCAACTCATATTAGTCTTAGATCTCGGCCACAAAACTAGCCGTCCGAACCTCGCCATGTGCTTCCCCCACGGAGTGCAATGGTTAAACTTCCCATAACTGATCAATCACCGATTAGTAAGCAAGCCCTGCTGTAGTACACTTGAAGCCCATAATATACCGTAATATAACAGGAAAAATGGCCATGGACAACTAGTAAAGTCATACACTACCGTGAATAACCTAATACTAGAAAAATTGAACTCTTTTGTTTTACTCACATTAAAATAAACAACATAACACTGTTTATCCAAATAACTGTCACTACTTCGTGACAGGGTACTCTTGAATCAACGTCAAATTTGAAAGGTTTACTTAACGTACACCAATGAAATTCTCGTAGATGACAGAGTGGTCAACTATCTTCCAGTTACATCATAATTACATTCTAAAACTCTTTTCTATTTCCCGTAGTTGACCTGGAAATTCTTAATTGCGTTTCTTTTTCCTCTCAGTATATGTTGCGTGCCTATCCGTTACCGTTTAAAAGATTACGAACCCACAAATTCGGGAGAATATAAGAAACATGACAAAACCTTTTGGTGAAAAAGTCCAAATTAACACGACTTCGGTGTACATAGTCAGGTAAAGACATAACACAGGGTTTCAACAGATGCAGAATGATATAAGTTTTCGGGAAGTTTTACGATAGTCATTTTGATGTCATTGATATTTCTCTATGCGATATGAAGCTGGACGTATTTGATGCCTGTTAGTTTGCATATTGGTTCCTTCGTTGTACATATTGTTCTTATTTGAAAACGAGACATCACTTACTTGTTTTGATCAATATTTACATGGTTGGTGTCGTCAGTTAAGAAGAAGACGCTTATTCCGCTCTGAAACACCTGGACTTATTCCCCACTGTAGTTTTTCAGCGGTTAAAGTACAAACGTCATGGTACAAAAACTAATTCCAGTAATTCATAAAAAATGAAAAGTTAGTCCTTTTAATTTTATACGTTCACTAAGATTCGTCAGTACGTTCGACAGTTTTTTTTCGGTTATTAAGCTACCCCTTAGTTTTTCTTCCTCCTGATACCACTTATTTAACGGTGCATTTCTCGATACAGGTATAATGTTTGGGACAATGACTTTTTCGGAATTTCCGAGAAAGAAGCTTCAGAAATGGACCCCCAGCAGAGATACGTGCTGGAATGTGTGCATATGGCTTTGGAAGACGGTGGGATCACACGAGCGGAGATTGATGGTTCACCAACGAGTGTGTATATTGGCGCGATGAACTGTGACTCAAAGACATCCAAGGATGGAGACTATTCACTGTTGACAAACTACACCGTGACTGGTGATGCCGCCAGTATCATCACGGCTCGCGTGTCATACAACTACAACCTTCTTGGTCCTTCACTTACTATTGATACTGCCTGTTCCTCGTCACTCGTAGCTATACACTTGGCAACACAGTCACTGAAACAAGGTAAATAAAATCAGTGTATAAGGAGAAAACGACTAGGTCATCCGGAAGAGTAAGTGTAACGACATGTTAATGTGATGACACTGAAAAGAGTAAATCTTTAGTCCAATCACCCATAGAAACCATTTTGACGTTTGACGGTTGTAATAGACCTCATTGCAAAACAAATGATTGAGTTACGCGGGTATCCTAAACAATGACAGATACTTTTCAATTTCAAAAATGAATCATAACAGTGTATTGTGTTTAAAATAAGTAACTTTTATGTTGAATGTGTTAAAATTGGCATACATTGAGCAAAAAAGACGCAAAATACATGTTTCACGGTACATAAAATTGGCCACTCCCAATTTAATATTTATTGTGAGTTATTTGTATTACCCCAGTAAACTCCTACAAAAATGAATGTTTTAGAAAATTCCAAAATTTACCAATGACCTTTTATATGATCCTTGTCATGGTTCTGAGCCAGGGTACACATTAAAGTATTTTTCTGAAACGCATCTATGCCAAGTTCATGAGCATTGTATTTCCCAGGTATGGACTAGACACTATGGGGCCACTGTTAATGACAATGTAATTGTTGATCGGGGGACTATGAGTATTGGACCTGTTGCGAGGTTCATGGTTTTCTATTTACACGTCTTCTTATCTTCTGCCATATGAAACACAACATACACGTATTGCTGCCGAACACTGCCAGTGCAGAAAGTTCAGATAGGTAGTGAAGAGCAAACAAATCGGGTGCACATGGTGCACACACGCTCAATAATGGTAATAACGGTTGGCTAACATCATGGGATGTAAATAAACGGAAAACTAAAAGCGATCACAGGCATCATAAAATTGATCAGTGACTATAAAACTCATTAATAATTCGATAGTTTTTTGGAACAACTCTGAATCCTGCATGTGACATGTCTGGATTTCAACCCAGCTAGGTCTCCAGTGTAACAAACACCACACTAGAGTATTTTTATTATAAAATATTAGAAAAAATAAGAACAGTACGGAAGTAATGAAAATCAAATTTCCTCTTTAACGGTATGATATTTAAGATGGTTCATTGCCGAGACAAAACGAGACGTCCGCTTAGTGTTAACATATATCATGTTTATACATTATATGTATAATGATCATCTGCATACTATGAATTATGCAAATGTAGATAACTATTCAGTCTGTATCTAATTAATCTACATTTGTCAAGTCTACAGATTTATGGCTGAATTAGGAAATAGAGAAATTTAGAATATAAATAAAATATGCGTACATTGCATATCGTATGAACATTGTGCGTTTCCATACTTGTACTATGATCGACTGAAATAGTGTAAACTGTTCGAAACTCATTTTAAATTATTTCCTTAACATCATATAGAAACTAGTTAAAGTAGCATATCATATAGAAACTGGTTAACTTAGCGACGAATTCTTTAAATGCTTATGGGACCGATGTGTCTATACCAGAAACCGTCGTCTTGCTTAGTTCATGCTTTCCCGTTTGGCGTCCGCTACTGCATGTGGTAAAAGTCAACTAAAAGCTGCAACCTGTCTGCCGTGAGTTTCGTCCGTATGTGCTAGGAGGAAGGATATTGGTAGTTGAGGGGCGGTTGTGTTGTCTGCGCACGAAGAACAAACTGAACACTTAGGACATGTAGTTGACCCAGGGCTAGGCATGACCAGCCGATTGATCATTGAGGGCCACAATGATCACATGTCTTACTGAGATAGAGGCCAAAGTGATATATTGGGGAAAGGCCATGTGTAATTGCTCGCGAATAAAGCGCAAACCACATAATCGCCCCTAAACCACCAGGATCCTTTCTCCCAGTACTACCAGGACGCAACCCACACGGGGAAGGTGAATAATATAACGAACTTTGTCGGTTATATTTGAGTTATACAATATACCAAACTTGCTGAGGACATTTCATGTGCGAGGATGCATTGGGATATAATTTATTTCTTCTTTCCCTTCACGTCGTAGTATATGACATACTTGCATATATAAGATAATTGAATGGTGAATGAGAACATGGATTTAAGCGTAATATCTTCAGGAACACCTGGTCTTATTTTCCGCGTAATCCGTTTTCATCAAAGGATGCTTCAGACCAAATAGGGGCGGAATCCAAACTTGCCTAAAAAGAATGTAAAAAGTGCTTTGTTACCCATACCTGATCCGGTCCATGGACCTGCCGCCCTGAAGTGCCAAGCCTCGTCCTTTATTTGATACCGATTTCTCTTCGCCAAACTTGGAAATATTCCTGACATTCATAAAACGGAAGAAGAATTTGTAAACCATTAGCTCTATTTTCCCTATTGTACTCAACCACTAGCTCCCAGGTCACCTTTTAGATTAAAATCATCCCTACATAAGAAGGACTTTGAAGAATTTGCTAAATTCACCTTTTTGGATCCCGACTGATGGCCCTTGCAAGCTTATGAGACTAACCACTCAAACAAAATTGTTTTCCAGTTCTCCAGAAAAGCTTCTGACTAAATTTGGTCAATATTTACTTAATTATTTATGACTAGTAGAAAAAGTTGACAGACCAACGGACGCAAAGGTATGGCATCGGTTCATTGGTAATTATAATCCGTAGAGTATTACGATATTGTATGTCTTACTCATGCACTTAACTCGGAAATATGCATTAGCGTTGGGGTAGACGAACTCAAATTAAACAATTTTGGTATATCAAGAAGAATATCGTTAATTAGAGAATAACATTCAGCATTTAGTGTAAGTACAATTTCCTCGCACAAATAAAGGTCCGATGATATTTCTATTGCTTAATTGTGTATTTTTGGAACTACTTTTTCTGATTGTCGGTCTTTCATAGTTGTAAATATACATAACTCTGTGATTCGTATTAAATGATTCCTAATAAAATGTGTTTATCTTAAACTAGGAGAGTCTTCCATGGCGATATGTGGCGGGGTCAACAGTATTCTGTATCCAGATATGTTCGTCACTCTGACGAAGGCCCGGATGGCGTCACCTACTGGCCAGTGTCAAGCTTTCTCCGCTAACGCCGATGGATACGCTCGTGGAGAGGGATGCGGTATCGTCATACTAGAAAGGCTAAATAATGTATGTTGTCTGTACATGTTTGGACAAATCATTTTTTATCATGTGCTATTGTGAACAAATGAATTTTGTCAATTGTTCAATTGTTAATTTTCGCTCAAACGAGGATCATTATCACAAACTTTCAGCTGTAGTTAACCATCGAAAATACTATTACAGGCTCTAAAGAATGGCAGACATATTTGGGCGACTATCCGCACGGGCTGTAACCAAGATGGACAGACTGTGAGGCCAATTACTGCACCATCAGGGATCCAACAGAATCGACTTCTTCATGACATATATCTTCACTCCAACAACATCAACCCGAGCCATGTCCAGTACATAGAGGCCCATGGTATGTATGTTTATATGCGTTAGATACTGCACAGAACTTAAAACTGTTGCAGTGTCGGTCTCCTTCCACAGACTGTTAACTATAAATCTCCCGTGGAGACATCAACTATCATAATAACCTATTAGGATCTTCCAAAAGTGAGTTTGGTCGTACAATAAAACATTTTACGAATAAGAATGCGATCTGCTGATTCGCCCATCTTCAGAATATTTCAAACTCCTTCTTGTTGCATTTAGTCATGTCTCTTTACTTTTAACTGTTCCGTGAGTGATGAAATCTGGAAGTGAATATTCTTTAGAATGACTAGTTCTCCAATTGACGATAACATTCCATTTTCACCTCTTTTGAGACATCTTCTGTTTTGAGCATTGGTAGGAAACAAGGGTAACTAATATTTGAGATTTTAAAAGGATTCATCTTAAACGACAAATATCCCCTCACTTAAGTTTATCAGCATTTGTTAAAATATCTTGGACAGACTCGAGTTTCAGTATTATTGGGTCAAGGTCAAGGCCACTGTTACTCTTTGAAATGATTGTTAGCGCTCTATGGCTTCAGTCTTAACTGGATTTTTCAATAAACACCACACGCTTATAAAGCATCAAATACTTGGATAAGCTCAAGTGCCAAGGCTGATGTGTTGCGGTCATTGTTACAATTGCAAATCACTTATATATATGCGTGGGGTTTGTTTTCACTTTAATATATGAGGAGAGTCAATCGCTAATTAAAATATCTCACAATGTTTCCACGAGACACACCGACTTAATTGTATTCTTATGGAATCGGAACGGAAAGTGCAAAAAAATAGTAAAAAGAGAAAATCATTATTCAATATTATCTTCGTGTTGCAGGACTACATCAGCAATAGTTGGAAATATTTACGATGTCCAAGGTGCTGGAACTGTTCAATTGTCTGCTTCGACCGTAATAGAAACGGACTTTAAAATTAACACATATCATAACACATCTACATACGCTTTTAGCACATTGATTGAAACGAGTAGATATCTCTCCTATGTAGTAACTCGGTATTTTTTTTTATAAATGTACTTACATAGTTAAAATTACAAGTAAAACTAATATTATTTGGTTATGAAAAAATATGATTTTCTGAAGTAATAAATTAGACGACAGAAAATTCGTTCCAAGAGAGAGAAACAATTATGACCACTCTCTTTCATCATTCTTTCACTAATCTATTTACAATGCATTGCATCTAGCAAAATCATATGATATTCATATAACACTGAAATCAGGTTTCGTAATCATATGCAATATAAGTTAAATTCTTACATGTCGTTCTTTGTTTTGCCTCTTCTGTTTTAGCGCCGATCGTTCGATGTTTTGCATTTACATTTTCCGTTTTTCATCGACAATTTTCATTTTAAAAAAATCTTGGTCTGTATTTATATAGGTTAGGGTTTTGTGATTCAACTTACGAAAAAAGCGTTTTGTTTGATTGCTTTTGGTCTTTTAAAGGAATTGATTTAATAACGAGAAACATGAACGTATCTGAAAAATACTATCCGTTTGCAAAAATTGAAAAAAAAACTCATATGATTAATTGATTTGGAAATGCTTTTTATAGTCTGAATGGTTAATAACAGTAAAAATATACTTATATTTATGTTTATTCCAAATTAGCGGTATGCTTGACACTTAAGTGATAGAAACATGCAATGAAATTTTACGAAAATGTTCGCGTTTCTTCTGCTTCAGGTACCGGTACACCAATCGGCGACCCGGTCGAGGTCAACAGTCTTGGGAGCTTCTTTAAAGATTATCCGATACAGCCCAATTATGTGACCAAACAGCGGTTTATCGGATCTGTTAAAACAAACATAGGACATCTGGAATCTGGTGCAGGAGCTGCAAGTCTCATTAAGACTCTTTTGATGATGAACCATGCAACAATTGTACCATCTCTTCATTCGCTTCCACGGAACCCGAAAATAGACTTTGAGAATTACGAACTGCAAATACCTACATCGGTTAACCCATGGCCTGTACTAGAAGATGGTTCAAGAGCTGCCTGCATAAATTGTTTCGGATTTGGTGGAACGAACAGTCATGCCTTTGTACGACAATGGGTTGGAAGGTCGAACGATACTAATACAACAATGAACAAGAACCTCAAATCCACGTGCATTCCACTTTCGGCAAAATCTCAAACGTGTCTGATTAAAGTACTTAGCCATTTGGTTAAACGACTGACAGAAGAACCATGCGATCTGAAGCAACTGTCATACACTGCTTCGTGCAAACGAGATCACTTTCGATACCGGAAATTGTTCGTTGCATTCACTATTGCAGATCTTATCGAAAGTTGCACAGGGGCAATTGAAAGAATGAAAGATGAAAATATTAAACCCGGCAGGAATATCAGGATAGTATACGTGTTTTGTGGCGTCGGGACCACATGGACGAAAATGGGCATGGAACTTGTTCGACATTTCCCTGTATTTGCTGACACCTTGAAGCGCATTGATAACTATCTGACGTCAATGACTGGATGGTCAGTAGAGGACATAATACGTGATGGAGCAAAAATGGATGACCCCTTCATTAGTCATATTGGTATATTTGCATGTCAAGTTGGACTGTCAGACCTCTGGAAACATTGGGGAATCTCTCCTGACGCGATTGTAGGTCAATCCGTTGGTGAAGTAGCCGCTGCCTATAGTAGTGGGGTACTATCTCTGAAAGATGCTGTCAAAGTAATTTACCACAGGTCCAGGTTGCTGGCAGAGGAATCGGGAGGCAAAATGATAGTGGTAACGAATGTTAATACCACATATGTATCCAAGATATGTAAAAAGGTTGGCCATGTTGATATAGCAGTACATATCAGTCCAAATGCATGTACAATAAGTGGTGATGCCAAAGAAGTAAATGAAGTGAAAAACCTCATAGCAATGCATACTAAAAACACGAGTGAAATTCCTTTGTTTCATGACTTGAATGTCCAGTGTGCTTATCATAGTTTCAAGATGGAAAACGCAGCAAAACGCATTACAGAATGTCTTAATGGAATTAAAGCTAATCCCCCAGATATTCCAGTATTTTCCACCGTGACAGGAATGATAGCAGAAGATTTCGGTACACCCGAGTATTGGGAAAAAAATGTCGAAAGGCCAGTATTATTTCACCAGGCAATTAAAGAATCGACGGGTAAAGAGTCAACTATATTCCTGGAACTCGGTCCTCGGCCAGTTTTGAAGGCTCATTTGAGTGACATATTCACAAAGGAAGTTGTCACTTCAATTCCATGTATGAAATTTGGTACAGGTTCAATTCAAGTGTTGACTGCGCTTGGTGATTTGTACACATTAGGCGTTAATCCATGCTGGGGAAATATCGTAGAGAAAACAAACCTGACAGACTTGCCTCAATATCAGTTTGACGGTAAGGTCTTAATGGTAGAGTCCGACTACCGCTTCCTCCGAAAACAGGGATTGATGAATGATTGCTCGGGTAGGTACCTTATGTTGACACAAACAGATACGAAAGGGAAATTTAAGGTTAATTTAAGTCCAAGCGAAACACCTTTCGTGTATGACCATGTTATCGATGACGTCGTCGTCATTCCAGGTGCTGTTTACGCTGAGGTGGCATTTGAACTGGGTATGAGTGTCATGAATGTAGCAGCTGAATGTTTGCATGTTGAGTACGATATCATCAAAGTGGTCCCCTTGTCGAAAGATAAACCGTTTTATCTGGATATCGCATCCAACATAGAAGAAACGAATGATTGCTTGATGAAAATTGTTTTTTCAATCACCAAGGATACAATAACGGTTGTCGAAGGATCTGTGACAAACATACTTCCCACACATTTGCCAACTGTTCAAAATGAGGATATATTCATAAGTACTGGGAACAATTTGGAGCGTGAACAGTTATATAAAGCGTTGGCAATGCATGGATACAAATATGGAACTAGAAGTCAGGTCTTGGAAAGAATTATATTCAACAAAAACGAATGCACTGCCTATATAAATCTCACTGAAGGAGTGGCACGACAAATTAATCGAACAGCTTTCCATCCTGCTATTCTAGATGCAATGCTTCACTCGAGCGCTCTAATATTCCTTTCTCAACAAAATGAAACATCTAACAAAATCTACCCGGTCCGCCTTGGTAGCGTTACCGTGTTTAGATCGTTAGAGAAACGAATGTTGTGTTATACCCGGATCATAAAAGAGGTCAGTGATAGGAGCATAACCAACATCATTCTTACTACACACAATGGTTTGGTGCTGGCTGAAGTGAAGGAAATCGAACACAATATCATGAATGGTAGCACGGGTGTAAACACATTTGCTTATCAGATTGCTTGGACTGAAGAGAATGTGCCAGATGTTATCTGCGATACCCAAGACGACCCAAAACAAAATGTTATCATCTGCTACGACGACAGCGGCATTCACACCTTACTTAGGAGTTTTTATCCACGAGGAGAATCCTTTCGACTGAGAGACGTGGCTGACGACCCTGAGTCCATGATATCCGCAATAGACACTGAAGGTGTGAAGATGACCTTAATTGTTCCAGACTCTTATACTGCCTCACAAAGCGAAAGTAGCGATCATATTTTTGATAATATTTGCAAATGCTGCGAGGCATTCCTCAACATTATGAAGAAGCTAAAATACACAGACAAAACTTTGATAATAGTTACAGAGAATACACAAGATGGTGGCTATGAAAAAAATATCAAACAAAATGTTTTTGGTTCTGAACTATGGGGGTTTGCTAGATCTTTACGACAAGAAGGTACCAGATGTCGGATTGTATTGATCGATATCCAGCCATCTATTCCCATGGAAGTGGAGACATTGAACAAAGCCATTCTTTTTTTCATGTCCTCCGATCAAGCTAGTACGCTTACGGAATGTCTAGTTGCTGATGGCAAAATACATAGTAACTTCCTACAGCGAGGACTGCATAAAGGTTTAGAAAATGTACACAGAACATTGTACCCTGATACAAATCTACGTCTTCAGGTTCGCAGTACCAAGCCAGACAGAGTAGAACGCCCGTTCCTCATACCTGCAGACAACACATGTGTTTCAAAGAAAAATGACATAATTCTTCAAGTTGATGCAATTTGTAGTCACTCGTCATCCATATTTTGCGTCACTGAGTTAGATTCAAGTATTGACAATTCACTTTGGACAGATTGGCAAGGTTACCCAGTTATAGGATTAGAATTTCAAGGAACTATTATGGGCAAAAAGCAACACGTTGTGGCATGTCACCCTACAAGAGCTACCAATTTGATATCTATACCAGAATGTTGTGTTTGTGAACGATCAAAATTGCCAATGTATACACCGGGTCTCATCATCAATGCAATGTTAATGTGGCATATCATGCAGCATGTTGAAGACAAATCTGTAGTTTATATCGTCACAGACTCTGACCCGTCTGATGATGCACCACTTGCCCTTCTTCGTGATATGATCTTGACGACAAAGCACTGCCAAGTCAAAATAGCATCGATTCACTCTCTCAATGATGCCTGTGAATGTGAGAATGGCGTGTTTATTTTATTAGAAAAACTTTCCTTATCACAAATAACATGTATTTTACGATTTGGAAATACCATTGTGGGTTATTTCGATGCCATGGGATGCGTGTCAACTCGACAATATCAGATATGCTCAAGAGGGATTAAAGTATGTATCATTAAGCAAAATGACGTGTTTTCTGACATCAACGTCATTAGTACTTTTCCAAAAGTAATACGTTGGCTACAACGACAATCAAGAAACCATGATGTAACTTATAATAATCGAAGACCACTAATGACCATCAAATTCCCTCACGCTAAGGATTCGGAAAAAGATGATATAGAAATAAAGGCAGTTGGAGACATGCTCATCCATAACAATGCAACTTATGTTGTTGTTGGTGGACTGACAGGTCTGGGTTGGGAGATTGTTAAATGGCTTGGTTTCAAAGGTGCTGGGATTGTGGTGTCGCTTTCTAGGAGAGATTGTAATCAACAGATGATTGAAAAACTTCAAAACGCGATGGATATACATAAGTATCAAATTACCCCTGTGAAGTGTGACATTAAGAATTATGCAGATGTTAAGAATGCGTTTGCTAACATAAAATCGCAGTTTCCAAATCATCCAATCAAGGGTATATTCCAGGGAGCAGGAGTTTTGAAAGATACCCGAATTGAAACTATGACAATGGACAATTTCAAGTCAGTGTTGTGCCCAAAAGTCTTGGGATCATGGAACTTACATCTTGTCTCCAAAGAGTTACCCTTGGATTTCTTCGTAATGCATTCTTCAGTTACTTCGGTATTTGGAAATGCCGGCCAAACAAGTTACGGGGCTGCCAATTCGTTCATGGATTCATTAGCCTTATACAGAAGGGCCAATAATCTGCCCGGTCAGAGCATCAACTGGGGAGCATTGGCGGTGGGTATGGCAAGCAACGCAACGATAAGGAATAGCCTTGAAGCTAATGGGTATTTTTTGTTGGAAACGAATCAGATTAAGGAATGTCTTTTAGATGTTCTGACTCGAAATCCAAGCCAAATAGTGTATGGCTTATTTGACTGGAATATTTTAAGAAAAAATCCCGCCATGATGCGGACCTCTGGATTTGATAGCGAGGAGATGTCAAATGCCAGACAGTCATCCATGCAACGGCATGTCAACACAGAGCTCGACATTGCCAATTTCAAGGAAGCGTCTCATGAGGAACAGAGACAGATTATCGTTGATTTGTTTTTCTCTAGCCTCTCCAGAGTTTTATCAGCATATGACAGAGCAGAAGTAAAGAATCAAAATCTTCTAAGTCTTGGCATGGAGTCGCAAAAAGCCATAGAATTAATCCAAGCCTTTAAGGACGCTACTGGTTGTAGACTTCCGTTGGCCTATATTCTGTCTCCTGAATATTCTGTAGAGATGCTTATTGACTTTGCTCATTCTAGTATCACCGCTAACATCGACAGGGAGGTTCATTCCCCAGTGAAATGTGAAAATGTACATGAATCACCGTCGTGGATGGAAAAATTCTATTTAGACATACACGAAATAAATCAGAAAGATTCAAGTCTTTGGTTCAGCATTGCTTTTAAACTAGGGAGCGGTCTATCCGATATCGGAATGTGGCGTACTGTCTTGCGACGGATTACTATCAAACACCGAGAATTGAGAACAGCGTATCAACCTAGCGGGCGAAGATTCGGATTCAGAAAAGTTACTGCGGATCCAGAGGATGCCAAGGTTGACTTTCGGTGTGTAGATTCTAGCGTTATAACGAGTGAGAAAGACGAAGATATTGCAAAATATTGCACTTTCGATATAGCAAAAGATCCGCCGTTGCGAGTTCTGTATTGTGACACTGGAAAAAAGCATCGCCTGAGATTCATTATTAGTCACATCACTATGGACCTGGGAAGCCTTTTCACGCTCGTTGAACAATTGCAGCTGTACATTCCAGCGTTTTTTCTTCATAAACATATCGATTTGACACCTGTAGAGACTCCAGATTTTGCTGTGCTGATGGAAGAACGAATCGAGTCTGAGAGGGTACATCTTGATAATTTCTGGAGAGGAGAGCTTGAAAAGAGTCGCAGTGTGCCATCTGTAGTTGGGGATAAAGTACCCAAACATATGTCAGGAAAGACAAAGAAATTATCTAAGCTTCTACCAAGAGAGCTGGTTGATAATATCAGTCTCGACGTATATCACATAACTGTACCTACTCTACTATTTAGTTTGTATCAGATTCTTCTACATGAGATGACATGCGTGTCTGCTGTTCCGGTTGTGCTGACAGTGGACATGCGCCGACACTTTCCGGAGTTCATTGGAAAGATATTTCTTGGTACCAACTACATTCCAGTCATAACACAGCTCCCCAGGGTATGTGCAACATTACGAGAATGCATTTCATTGTGCTCCAACCAGATGTTGCTCGCGAGTGCGAACAGCTTGTACCCATTCCAACTTATCAAACAAATTGATATTGATAAAGAGAACTATTTCCGACATTTTTTCAATGTAAGAGACATATCAAAACAACTCGAAAAACGTGAAATGTATTCAAATTACCATATGACAAATATAGGCTATATCACCGGTTTCCTAAACAAAGTGGAGACAGCTTTAAATGTGGTGACTGGTCGCCAGGACAGATCTATGGAATTAGTGTTGAGTTATGACTCAGAAATTGTCAGTTCCTCCAAAGCTGAAAGTATGCTTAACGACCTTGTGCTACTGGCCAGTGCTGCTGTAGCAAATCCAGATCTCGGACTGAAAGACATACCTTTGGAGTGTTATCAAACCGAGGCTTCCGACAAAATGGACCCTCACTTGCCTATGGGTAAATATTGTGTTACAATTTGTCGTCGTGAAATTTTATATATCTTGATTATTGCCTAGTGTCAAATTGGACACTGCGTCTGTTTTCGTCAATTCAATGTTCCCTTAGCAAATGACAGATAACTCACTTATTAATTCTGATTATAAATGGACATCGTTGTAAACAATTTCACTAAAATAGACAAGAAATGGAATGCTATGAAATGTATGCTTGTATAGTATATATTTGGTTACTAGTAAATGAGACCAACGAAATACCAGAGAGAAATCTGCCATTTCTTTTTGGAAAAAAAATCGCCAATATTTTGTCACATTTTGTTCGATTTTCAAATCTGAGGTATCAAAGTAATCGCATACGGTAATAAATAAATTGCCTACAAGGAAAACTAAAAATACAAACTAAACTAACACACCTTTCATTCATTGTATATGTGAATTACGACCGGCGAATTCCCCGATGTAGCTATGCATGTCCGCTAAAATTCAGGTCAAACAAGGCTATTATAAAGTCAAAACGTCATACCATCTATTTGATTAATTTTAAAGGGGACAATTTTCGATTTCATATTCACATAAACAAGCTCCGGATCGTATGCAAGGTATTTAGTTAATATCAGAAAATAGACTTCTTCTCGATTTCATTCAAATCAAATCCGTCTCCATTACCGAAATAGGAACAGGGCAAAAGATTTTTCAACAGATGTATTGGATTGGTTGATTTTATTCATTGGTTCATCAAAAATGTCCTTAAAAATGTAAAATTATCCCGTTCCTATTTTCATTCAATATTAATTTGAAGTTAAAAGAGTCACAGGGAGCTGATAGTTTGTCAGTAGCATACTGCAATCAATTGCTATATAAAGTAATGATAAATATTTATAAAAATCGATCTTTCGGATTTCGATAGGAGTCAAAGGTCAAAAGTGATATGTTGTTTACAAGCATTTTGAAAAACTTCTAATGTTCTACCGATGAGATTTATCTCATTCTTGCCTGAAAACCCCGGTATAGTCCGGACCAAGTATTAATATTTTTGAGTTGGTCGGAAATTAAATATGAACTCCCATATCGCCTTCTTGAAAAAACACATTTGAATCTATTTTTCCAGTTTGACCAGTGTCATTGAGCTGAAAATTAGTTTGGAAAGGATTCCAAGAAATGTTGCCTTATAAAGTATTCGAATGCTAGCTAAAAAATGTATCCATGTCAGTTTCTAGATTGGTTTATTTCTAAATAACTTCCGATGGTTTTTTCCGATTAGGACCTATGCTTCATTTGGTATTGCGTAATTTGGAAATATAAGAAAATGATGCTTCATCGGGATATCCGTTTTTATTTTCATACTTGCTACAAGCCATATATTGCAATAAGTGCGACATAAATTGGAGATTTTAAAAATTAGATTGTTAATATCTAAACATTCCCATGTAAAAAAAGTGTGAAATCTTAAAATTCACGATTATATGACAGATGTATTATGCAAATTACTTTTATCAGGTGCAATTATAGGATCGCACAAAGTTATACAATGTGCGATGTGTGCGTGGTGTATGCACGGTGGGAAACTGAACAAAATTAGCTATTGCACATTTGTGCGCGCGATGTGCGATTCCATAGGGGTACATACCAATTAAAAATAATAATGAATAAGTGTTGGATAGGATTACTTTGATCTCTAGATATATATGAGTACATTTAAGTAAGTTTATTAAGCCATATATTTACAAGTATATACACAAGTGCTTCTTCAGAAGAAGACTGAAGAGTATTTAAGAGCGTTTTATATACAAAGTAAGTAATGTTTGAAAAGCATGTCACAAAGTTTTTGACGGATTTTTGAAACGATCAACCTTCGAAGTAATGGAATGTACCATAACACTACCAAAAGTCCTTGTTTAATTAAAGTTAAATCAAAAGAAACTTACGCTACGACATTTTTGACAGAACAATGCACTGACACTTGAAATTCCCTCGCTGGACATTATCGATACCACTAACAGGAAAGTCTAATACCAACGAAATCGGACACATGTAGACTCACAGCTCATAGCTTTCTGAAAGCGCAATACATCACAAAACTAACGCAGCTGTAAGGACAGGCGATAAAATATTTTGTAACTGTGAAATTGGATATTCAATACGATTTCTGTACCATCAAAATATACAAATGATAGCAGTGTTAAGATACAGTTGACCTTGTTGTATAGGCTATGACTTAAGTGGCAACCATTCGTTATGTTAGAACAATTGTATAAACGGCCAGATTAATTCATTTGTTCTACAATCTAAAATATTTGGGCTTTTTTAAATAATGTTTTATCAAAGTTTGATTGATTCTTTTATATCATCAAATGTTGGATGATACTAGTCGCAGCTGCATTACTATTGATTCGTTTATTCCTAGATTTTATGTGCTGTTGTTTTATGCATAAGTTAGAAAATAAAGCATCATCTAACATATGACCGCAAATGTAAAATATGAAATTGCGTTCTCTTTCTGTTTGCAGCAATATTTATGAAAGAGACTTCAAACGGTTGGGAATATCCAGTGCAGCTGGAATTGGACGTGCAAAATGATATTACCAGGATAAGATTGATCAATCCTAATGGCCGAGGAACGTCAAGACATAAAGCAATACCAAGTCATTGTATCATTGCTGTAGACATCGGAAAAATCTCTGGTATGTATAATATGCATTCAATTCAAATACGACAATTTAAAGTTGTTTGGTTATCTCGTTACTCTCGTAAATAGTTCATATCAAAATTCACCTTTTTCATCATAGTGGAATAAATTACATCTTTTTTCTAGCTTCTTATTTTGTGCCAACTTACTGAATTATGGTTTAACGAGATTTGAATGACAGGTCGGAATCGGTATCTCTGATGTCTTCTGTTAAGAGGACACCAGAGAACCTAAGAATATGGTATGCTGTATTCCACTACATAATAGTAAGTCACTTTGCAAGTAGCTATGCAGAATCGTGGTTTCCTTCCGCGAATTCTGCCAAAGGAACAGAAATAAATCTGGTGTCGTCCAAAATGCTTCTTTTTACCCGTTCTTTATTTTCCCCTTTTGATTTGTTTTCATATGATCCTTGCAATCGTGAGAACGTTAAACCCCATAAAACCACAAACAAGGTTGGGGTTAAATATAAAAATGACATACACGTTCTGACCAAATAATGAGACAAACAAATTATCATTTTCATAATCCCCCCAGTCATGGAAATGTGGAACCTGGTTTAGTTCGCTCAAATAGTTCATTCTAAACTACGGAAAGTATCTTATTTATATTCTTCCCTAGTAGGCCGCCCTTTGCTTCAAAAGGTTTCTATGCAACAGCTTTTATTAAAAACTCTGCTCCTTTCACTCAAGAATACTTCAGACCAAATTGCATCTTAACTACAAATGAAAGACAATAAAGAAGTTTAGGCCATGGGGCAGAGACCAATTATCTATACATACATAGCTTTCATTTACACAAGCTTATTTTTGGGCCACATCTGAATTAAATATCTTCATTCCAACAGAGTCATATTAAAGGACATGGGAAGCTATTTTATACCTCGTATACTAGTTTTATACTTCAACCAATAAGATGCAACAGTAGCTGTGATTCACAAGACGCCGACCCTTACTTCGCTATTCGATAAACGAGTGTTCTGAGTATGCATATTCTATTGAATAAAAAATGAGCCGATTAACTTCTTAAGTCAAAGATGACATCCTGTCGATCATCCAGTACAAAATATGCCACACACGTGCATATGGGGTATAATTTGTGTTCGAAATCATGTCCTTTGCCTCTAAAGTGATTCATCTATTCCCGATATTGGGCCCCACATCTTTCACCCCAGAGGCCGAGATCATGTCCTTTGCCTCTAAAGTGATTCATCTATTCTCGATACTGGGCCCCACATCTTTCGCCCCAGAGGCCGAGATCATGTCCTTTGCCTCTAAAGTGATTCATCTATTCCCGATATTGGGCCCCACATCTTTCGCCCCAGAGGCCGAGATCGTGTCCTTTGCCTCTAAAGTGATTCATCTATTCCCGATATTGGGCCCCACATCTTTTGCCCCAGAAGCCGAGATCGTGTACTTTGACATTCCTACCATTTTTTTTAAAAATAATCTTTTCAGATTCCTGGAGTCTTATCATACAAACATCGAAGAGACATCACAATTTCAAAACCAACGACTATTTTATGGTCCAAGTCTGGAGAGCAAAAATCCGGAAATTGATATCTCCCCGTCCACTGCCGTCATCTTGATGAGTTAGTGATGCAGAGGCCTGTATGAAGAGTTTGTTTACATGTTTCTTTAAATGGTAGATGTTTCGTAACCTAAAAATTAGCTGAAGCCCTGTATTGCGGTATCAGAGCTTCAAGAGCTACAAACGATACATTTGTATATTGTATTGATGCTTTGATGTTGTGCAATACATTACTTACATTTGATTGAATTATGGCACGTGGACATAAAAGAGGGAATATTTACTTGACGTCTTGTCCAAAGTAAAGATAAGGGTACTGGCAAAGGCGAAGCCAGACTGGTATGGAAGGGTATATGTTTTATTTACCTTTACTTTTCAAAAGGTTCGAGGTCATGTTCCCAAGGAAAAAAATATTATCGCCTATGGTTTTGTGTACTCTGAAAAATGAATTAAAATAAGTTTGATTTGTTTAAAATGGTTCTTTATTAAATCATTTTCCTGAATGTACGTGATTCAGATAAGACACTTTCTTGTGAACATTTTTATTAATCATTTACTAGGTAAAATTGTATAGCATCTTTTGTTTATTATTAAAGCTGCAATTTTGATATTATTATAGCAAGCCAACCGGTTATAAGTATTTTCTCTATGTATATATATATCATATTTGTACTTAAAATGTCGTCATGGCTGTCTCTGGTATTCATTAAGATTTCAAAAAGCCACAAAATATAGATAGCATGGATTGGAATTTAAATATCGTACGCTTCGGTAAATAAACCTTTCATAATTTCCCCGTGTGGTAAGCCTATTTTAGTTAAGATTACTTAGATAAGTTGTTGTATAGTCATGCAGAGGAAAGGCGATATCATGTGAAGTCAAGAGCCAGCATTGACTTTCTATCGTTCCAAATGACTGAAATAGGCCAATATCAATATTTGTGTTTTATAAGAGCGGAAATCCGGATACCGAATGATGGAATAGTTTTTGGTTTGTTTTGAAACAAGAATTTATTTTTTGATTCAAATATGAGCGAAAAAGCACGATTTGAAGGATTTGACTTTAGCTGAATGTTGTATTGCAAAGCCACGGCTATATAGTTAGCAAAGCGTTTCTATCAGCTCTCCAACCAGTGTGGGGCACCATATTTAGAATATTCAGTGGCGTAAGGTTTTATGTGGCTTTAAGGTTTTTTATATGTGGAAGGAACGATGTTTTCCTCTCGAACATTACACATAATGCTGGACAACCGGAATGAGTATATCACATGTAGATAGATTTGGATCGTCGTGTTGTTTCCGAATTTGACAAAAATGTATACAAGCTGTTTTTGATTGTGAAAAATGTTAATCCATTTTCATCTGCTTAAATTTGTAGTCGATTCAAACATTTTATTTGTCTTCCGATGGTATTCATATGCTTAGATCGATATCATATAATGGCGTCATCAACATAAAGATCGCCCTCCATTAAAGATAAGGTTTGACAATACTGGTACGTTTAAGTCCAAAAAGTGTAACCGAGAGAATGCTGCCTTGTGGTACACTCATTTCCTGCTGATGAACATCGGAAAGGGACGTTCCATTCCGGACTTGAAATTAGTGCATTTTATAGAATTTAAAACAAATTTGTGACCCTTACAGAAGACAACATGATTCAATAGCAAACATTGCTCAATACTTTCGTGTTGTCAAATCATCTCATTTAGTCTAAATATACTCGGATCAGATGTGGTTTCGCTTTGGTCAATAACATTAAAATAGTGTCATTATGTAAAGACTTATCTAATTAATTTTATAACAATTTAACCGTGATGTATGTATTAATATCTAACTGTATATTATTGGGGTCCTGTAACACCTGATTCAATGGTCGGGGTTGAGACATTTTTATAGGCATGACACAGTTCGCCACTCCTATCAAAATGTTGCCCTCATTTTGTAATGACCTAACCTTGTCATTGATTTACGTAATCTATCTGATAGAAAATTTGAAATAAAATTTGATATATTACCTCTTATACCTATATCTTGCAGATCTTTCATTATGCCGTATTTCCATGTTATGTCGTAAGTCTTTTCCAAATCAAAGAAAAAAACAACCAAGTGTTCCTTCTTTAGAAAAGCTTCACGCTCAAAGGTTTCAAGTCTAACTAAATATCGTCGGTACCTCTCATTGATCTAAACGCTTTGTTGGTTGATATTAGGGTTTTACAAACACAGTTCGTGAGTGATATTTGGCGGTACCTGGAGGGATCTGTCGTATCTTTATCCTGTTTGGGAATAGGAATCACAGTTGCCATTTATCAAGAAGTTTTTCTAATGATTACTCTGGCAGCCGATTTTGGAACTGATAGTGAATATTATCAGGTCCTGTTGCAGAGTCATGTGAATTGTTCAATGATTTTCGGAGACAGGTTGATCGTAAGCTTCGGAGAGAATTGCAACTTCGATTTTTTAGAATGATCTTAAATTTTTTTCATATTTTTTGGAACGCGTATTTGCAGACAAATTTTTTGAAAAAGCAGGTCCTAAATTACTTACAATATCAAATTTCTCGAGTAGACAGGTCAATGAAGTGCAATAAAAACTTAACGGTGAATGGTTCATCATATACTATGCAACAAGAATTCTTCGCCTGTCAACATATATGAATGTGTAAGGTAAGTATTGTCCATCCGAAGACGGACAAGTACAACTATTATCATTATGTAAATACTTATCTAATTAATTTTATAACAATTTAACCGTGATGTATGTATTAATATCTAACTGTATATTATTGGGGTCCTGTAACACCTGATTCAATTGTCAAAAAATGTTTGATAGAGTAACAAATGAAATAAAATGAAGCTTAAACAAAGTCATTGATTTACGTCCGATTGAAGGGTTATATAGGTTATATATTTAACGCAATCTCGGAACTAAAACGTTATTTATAGCATTTGTTTTTTATGTATTAAATTCAGTGATAGAAAAAAGTTGAAGTATTTTAAGAAGAGAAGGATCTTGTGAGGATGATCGTGTAGAATCTTTTTAATACTGACTCTATCAAACGTTTAACTGAATGTTTGTTGAAAGAATTAAAAAGAGGTAACTCCAGCCAACTTCAATTGAAATTCAAATAGCTTATATTTCGGCAAGCAAACCTCGCACGTTGTTGTCAGATTGCGTTGTTGTCAGATCACCTAACTGAGTCAAGATATACTTAGTCAGTTGCTGTGTAGTGATTACAGTCATTAACATAAAATGAGGATTGATTCATAAATACCTATTTCATTATTATCATTTGTTTGTCATTTCCTTTTTTCCTCTTTCTGCCTTAGGAGATCAATTAGATTTACCCTTTTATCTTAAATAGCATAATGTTAATGTGTATTATATTGCGTTTCCAATAAAATGTAATTACTTACAGTAATATCCGAAGTTATAATAGGTATCTATTGTACAGATAGTTTTGTATTTATTTCCGAATTTTACAGGTACATGCATAATAACTACCCGTATGATAATATTGTGTAAATTAAAAAATATAGAGTGTATTATTTTTCATCAAATAAAGAAAAAAAAAGAGTTTTCGTGAATAGAAAATTATTGTTTGTAAATTAATTTCAAGTCAAATAGAACAGCATCATACGTCAAAAGTGGTCTATGGAAAGATGAAATTGGTTAATATATCGATTTCTGTGCTGGCTGACATAAACAGTCATCAAATTGGCCTGACTGTCGATCGTTTGACCAGTCTTGATTAGGGAGCTATTAAATCAAACTATTTTAAAATGTTGCGCCTCTACATTCAAGCAAAGACATTACAGTTAAGTGATATAGCAAAGTTATATATTCATTTCTTTCTCTCTCTTAATTTCATCAAGTCATCTGCTTATGCATATTTATGCTGTTTTCTTAATTGCTTTTGAGGTTGTGTTTGAGGACTCCTAAAACATTTGCATTGGTAGGAATTATGTTAGCTCGTTCCATCTTAAGTTTATTTTGGATTATTTCTCGAAGTTATTGGTTATAATGGGATGTCATTAACCAGTCACTTTCACATTGTTCTTCTACGTCAAGGTTCTGATTTAATCTGTGCGTTTCATTTGTGTTTCGTGGTTTTGTCTATGGCTATGTCTTCTATTGTCGGTAAACTGTTTGATAAATTCAGAGAATTCATTGGAAAATATTAGAAATCAAACATGTTTCCGAAAGCCTTCTCATTTTTTGATATGTTTAAATAGAGGAAGAGACCAGTAATCCATGTAATTGTGTGCCTCTACTACACTGTATAATTATTTGATTTTAATCGATAATGTGGAATTTTGTCAGAATTCATGCTTTTTGTTTTGCTTTGGTATTTTGGAGGAAGGTGGGAATGGGGTCTATGAATTTCTAGATTTGTGTTACCCGTGCTCAGGAGGTCGAACAGTGTATTATTACTCATGTGGTCATGGTGGATGTTGTAATGACGTGCTCTATGTGATATTGGAATGTAGGTTTAAGAAAGCATTGGTCGGTGCCCCTTCATTATTTTTCAGTAATGTGATCAGGACCTTTTGCATTGAGTGGGTCGATAAGATTAAGTCGACCAAGTTTTAACGCTTATTTCTGGCATTAAGGTGATGATCCTTTGTCGACTATTGGCAGTCGTTAACTGATACAAAGTTTGTTTATATTTGTTAATTTGGCGAGTTGCAGAATTTCAGCTGTTTATGTGAAATATTTGATAAGATTTCACAATGAGTTGAAGTTTTGCACATTGATTTGTTTATCATAATTACAGGCTAGCCGGTAATAAGTATCTATATATTATTGGCCTTTAGTTGAGCATTCACTACCTGTGAGGAAGCCTTTGAATTCTGTCTCGTGGCCTACATACATCAGAGGTATTAGTAGTTACTGACTTGTTACCAACGGTAATTAACCCAATAACTAATATTCTAAAACATGACTTGAATTTTGTAGACGACTAATATATACATTGCCTTTTATCGAATTGGTGAATATATTGTAACGAACGACGTCTCGCGACCAACTAGTGGCCGCACCGCGGACGTCACCTCTGTAGTTACAATA